AACCACACTCGTCACGGGTGAGCTTTTGAGAGTGTCTATAAAATGGTTGATTCTTACAGTAAAAACCAAGTACGAGCGTTGATTCTCATAGTACAAAACTAAGTCCCAGCGTGATAGTGCGTGAGAGATGATTAAGGGTAAGGTTGTCATATTATTTCTGCTAATGATATTTATTATATTGATTGCAGTAAATGGGCAAACTGCGAAAGATTGCTGCATTCGTCGCTTGAAATGCTGCCCCCCTCAGACTGCTCTTTTTAATAGCACTATGTAGTTTGTAATTTTAAATTAGCTTTTTTATTTACGTACGTGGATGTATGATTAAATGTTAGGTTATGTTTTAATATTGTAATATGTAGGAGTATGTTCTTATTTTGTATTATTGAACGATAGTATGTTAAATCTATGAATGGAACAAGGAGTTTAAGTAAAACTTTTGTTATTTCGCACAATATTTTTTTTTTCTTTTGTTTTTTCTTTTTTTGCAGGTTTGAGTCTTTGAGTCTGCGAGAAGGCATTCGGGTCTTACCCGGCTCTGGGCGGGCACAAGGCCAGCCACCGGAAGCCTAGCAACGACTAGCGCAAGCGCCTCCACGGCGGCCTCCGGTGGCGGCAGGGTGCACCGGTGCTCCCTCGGTGTGCCTGAAGACGTTTCCGTTGGGGCAAGCGCTGGGTGGCACAAGAGGTGCCACAACGACGGGAGCGTCGGCAGCGGCACTACCCCGGCGGCGATGACGTCGTCGGAGGGGGCGAGCTCGAGGCACATGCCGTTCTATCTGAACGTGCCAGCGACGCCGGACTCGGAGTTCGACGACGTCAAGCGTTGGGTGGCGGCGGCGGTGAAGGAAGAGGAGGAGGTGCAGAGCCCGCTGGCTTTCAAGAAACAGAGACCTGTCGTCCCACATGAGCGAGTCAACTCCAGTACTGGAGACCGGAGATCACCGTCGTAGAGGAATGAAAGCAGTCCAAGATGAGAACTAGCCATTCCAATCGGATTGTCTATGAAATGGTTCTCATAGTACAAGATAGTACAAGACCGAGAATGAGTGAAATAGTGCTCATAGGCTGCGATTCTAGTTGTATTTTTTCCACCCCAATCCGAATCCCTTGCTTCCCACACCTCGTTTCCTCCTCTCCTTTTCTTCCTCGTCAGCCATGCCGGTGTTCACGTTGCCATCAAGAACCAGGTGACAAAAAAGAAAAAGGATTTTGAAAGCTATAATGTGCCGACGCCAATCCACTTAGTATAGAAGAATATTCCCACCATCCAATTAACGATTTTTTTGCTTATTTAATTCCTTAACTATCACAGCCACACCGACACCTTTAAAACCAATAAAAGTATATTTGGCAACGGAATCAAAACTGTTTCTTTTAATGGTCGGACAATTAATCCTTTCCACCATATTAAGAAAGGTAATAATATGGTGCGATTCAGGTGATTTTGAAAGAAAAAGAAAAAGAATTTTGATACCTATAATGTGCCAACGCCAATCCACTTAGTATAGAAGAATATTCCCACCATCCAGTTCACGATTTTTTTGCATATTTAATTCCTTAACTATCACAGCCACACCGACACCTTTAAAACTAATAAAAGTATATTTGGCAACGGAATCACAACTGTTTCCATCACTGGTGGGACAATTAATCCTTTCCACTATATTTAGAGATGCTTTCATCCTTTATATCTGCTCAATATACAGCTTATTCTCTCTAATACGAGTCCTACCAAATGGCCGATGAAGAAGGTGACATCTTTCGTTTTGACTTCTTACTGTCATCCTTATTCAAAAGATTATTTTTCAATTTCTTCCTCCCTCTCCTCTTCTTTCAGGTTCGATTCTGGATGACTCTCCGATCGAGCAAGTTCGGTTGACAGTCCCACCAACAGATGATAAGACATTGCAGGTCTTAACGTTCCGAACATGGTTTATCGGAATCCCCATTTGCATCCTCGGGTCCGTAATTGCAGCATTATCTTCTTACCGACAGCAATTGTTCTATTTATCACAAGTCTGCATCAACATCATCGTGCTCATCGTTGGGAAACTAATGGCTAATATGCTACCAAACAAAGTGGTACGGATGCCATACACAAACTGGGGTTTCTCGTTGAATCCGGGACCCTTCAACTTGAAAGAACATGTGGTGACCACCATACTGGCCGGCACGGAAAGTGCTTCTGCCGGCTTCGAAATATTATCCATGTCCAAGATCTTCTACCACAAGGATATCCCATTACTGCCGGCCATGCTGCTGGTGCTATCGATTCAGGTGATTTCTGATGATTTTGTTAGTTGGTTAATTCTGATGATTTCTGATGATTTTCTTAGTTATAAAGAAAAGGTAATAAATAATATGGTTGCTAAATTCTGATGATTTTGTTAGTTAGTTAATTCCAATTGATCTTTCCTTACTTCCGGTCAAGAAGTAACGGCTTTTAAATGCCCTTATGGTGTGTAGTTTCTCGGATATGGGTTTGCTGGCATATTCACGAAGTTGCTAGTGGACTCACCCTATATGTGGTGGCCTTCGACTCTAGTAGACGTCTCCTT